GGTGGACACAAGCAGAGCAAAAAAAGTCGCACATTTGGAGGCTGGTTGGGTGGAAGGATGGCTCCAAACTAACCCAGGAGAGGACCACCGTTCATGGCCTCTGTGAAACCAAAGTCATCAATTTACAAGTAGTAGGTAGTTTTTGCCTTAACCTAACCCACTGCAGTTTCACAACAGTGCCTAAGCCTATTTAAAAGTCTAACCAGACGTTCACATATTTATTCTGCTGGGCCGCAGAAGCCCTGCAATATCCACAAATGCAAAGCTAGGAGGGACACTGCCAGTGTCATATTTTGAAGGACGCCACTGACCGAGCTGCAGTATTTGGAGTATTTTAGAGTTGGGAGTGAGAACGTGTTGGACCTGCTCTGGCTCAGGTGACCCCACAGCACAGGTAACCATGGTGATATAACCCAGTTAAACATGAGCAAATGAACCACAAATCTTGCTTTGGTGACACAAGGCCGCCAGGAGTAAAATGTAGTCATACAGTAAACAATGCTTCCACCAGAAGCTCACCTGGACAGGTGATGACAAGAAACAAAGACAATTTAACATCCTGCCATGGGGCCCCCTGTGATAAGAGAGCAGTTTCATTCTACTCTATCTCTCAGTTATTCATTTCCCCTAGGAGCCTCCCTGTCCCCCTAGACCTCTGATCCCTGAACCTGTGGAGCCCCCCTGCCCCTGCCCGACTGCTCTGTCCTCAGTCCTGGGAGCCTGCAGTCTGCTAGCGAGTCTCCTAGAGTCAGAAGTGATACATGTTTAATGAGAAAATGTGTCTGTGTGTGCGCTGTGTGTGTGTGTGTGGTGTGTGTGTTGCGCGCCCCCGCTACTACTCTCTGTCTAGGTGGTTGTGTGTGTGTGTGTGTGCACACACAGGCACACACAGACACAGTTTTCTATAAACATGTATCACTTCTGATCTAGAGGACTCGCTAGCAGACTGCAGGCTCCCAGGACTGAGGACAGAGCAGTCGGGGCAGGGGCAGGGGGGCTCCACAGGTTCAGGGATCAGAGGTTAGGGGGACAGGGAGCTCCTAGGGGAATGATAACTGAGAGATAGAGTAGATGAAACTGCTCTCTGATCCACAGCCCCATGGCAGGATGTTAATCTTTGTTTCTGTCACTCACCTGTCCAGGTGAGCTTCTGGTGGAGCATTGTTTACTGTATGACTACATTTTACTCCTGCGGCCTTGTGTTCACCAAGCAAGATTTTGTGCGTTCATTTGCCTCATGGTTTAACTGGGTTATATCACCATGGTTAACCTGTGCTGTGGGGGCCTCACCTGAGCCAGAGCAGGTCCAACACGTCTCACTCCCACACTCTAAAATACTCCAAATACTGCAGCTCGGTCAGTGGCGTCCGCTTCAAAATATGACACTGCAGGTGTCCCTCTAGCTTCATTTGTGGATATGCAGGGCTCTGCGGCCCAGCAAGAATAAATATGTAACGTCTGGTTAGACTTTTAAAATAAGGCTTAGGCACTGTTGTGAAACTGCAGGTGGGTTAGGTTAAGGCAAAAAAACTACTACTACTGTAAATTGATGACTTTTGGTTTCACAGAGGCCATGAACGGTGGTCTCCTGGGTTAGTTTGAGCCATCCTTCCACCCAACCAGCTCCAAATGTGGACTTTTTTGCTCTGCTGTGTCACCGGACTACGACAGCGGGCGTGTCCAGAAATAACACCGCAGGGATACCTACAGCGTCATATTTTCAAACAGAGCGCCATTAACCAAGCGGCAGTATTTGCCGACTCCGGAGTGAGACCAGGTGGGCAGGTCTGCTTCAAAGGATCAGATGAAAACCTGTCATAAATTCTACAGGATGCTGACCTATTAGCTCAAATAGAGCAAGGCTGTGCTAAGTGTGCCGCCCCTCCTGTACATTGTTTTCATGTTTGCATTTTTTAAATCAATAGATGAATAGAGAGTTTGAAATCTATATGTGAAGGAAGAGGCACGCCAACATACCTGTCACTGTATGCTGCTGCAGCAGTACCAGCTGGCTGGGCATATCTGTAAGCTGCATACCCTCCCTGAGGAGAGACAGAGGAAGGCAGCATCACCTCACATTAGGAATACAAGATTGTCACCAAACTGAACGTGCAACTATAAGAACTGACTTTAGGTAAAACACTGGAACACATGCTTAAGACATACACTCTTTTCTTAATTGCTCATAGTGAATTGTTTTGACTTACATATATTTCTGCCCCATAAAAGCCATCCTGGTATACCACACTGTTGACAGAGGATATCAAACATTCAACACTTTTTTAGGCATTGGAGGAAAAAAAAAAGAAACAGTGATATGGCATTCTAAATAAATACAAGTACAATATGAATGTTCAGTCTGTTCTGACATTGTATGGTGGAATTTCACATAAAATGTGAGGGACAGTGTACAGACTTCAATTGGTGACTGCACGACAAAAACTTTAGCGCATGTGCAGTCAGTGTGCTTTAGGCTGAGGTGTGGACTCGAGTCACACATTGGATGACTTTAGACTTAACAAAACTTACAACTTAACTTACACTTAACACCAATGACTTGTGAGCCTTTTGACTTCAAAATATACTTTCCCCCAAGCCCAAAAGGTGTGTTATTTAACAAGTGCACCACAAACCAAATCATATTCCTCCATAGTCTGACAGAAAATGTCTTACAAATTTGGGAAGAGAATTATTAATATTTGTTCTAATATGAGATGAGTTAAATACAACAAGAGACAGAAATTAATTCTGTTGTGGTACTGGTTAATAGTGCTATTTGCTATGGAAGTGCAATGTCAGCACTACATTTTTTAATCATTAAGTTCAGTCTTAACAATTATATATATACTGTAAAAGGCATGATTTGTGTAAATGTAATATATTACTCTGTCGTAAAAATGACATATTTGGTGCATGTTACAACTTGTTTAGGACTCGAAACTCAAAATTTATGACTTGAGATTTGAGTGCAAAGATTTGAGACTTGTGGCTTGCAAAACAATGACTTGGTCCACCTCAGCTTAAAGGCATAATGATAACAGTCTTAATGCTTTTTTTGTAATGGAGCTTCATTCAAGCTGCCACAGAGAGTAGGCCATGAGGCAGGGCAATGAAGAATTTCTTTTCGCTGTTGGCTTAAATTATCCACAATGTTCAGTTATCCCAGGTACTTTCTGATAGGGAGAAACTACCCTAAGCATTTCAAAGCACAAAGCTGTAGCTCTTTAGTATGCAAATAACTTTCCGTTAGCCTTTTTTCAACAGAATGTAGGCTCTGCATAAACGAGGGAGAAGTGTCTTGATGTACTGTGCAGATGTACTTTTCTCTCGTTATCAAACGTGAACACAAGCATTCACTCGGCACTTAGGATTTGTGTGATGCACACCGCCATGTTTTGCATGCTCGCTACATGATACTTTGTCTGTACTGCTGCCTGGTGTTTCAGAAAACACAGCCTCAGACAGTATGCAAACCATAAAAGCCCCTGTGCACGCTTGTAGCTCCTTTACCAACTGCAGAGGCCTTCACCATGCTATCTTGAGGAGGCATAAAAAACAACAGATGTTTGGACAGTGTAGTTGCTTGTGGACAGTTTTCATCATGAGGACCCTGGCAGTCACAGAAGCTACTCTACATCCAAACCAATTGTGACATATTTATTCTTTGTTTTCAAAAAAAAGGTCACAAATAGTTTGTTTTCCAAACTGCTGTTAAAAACTAAATAAAAGAAAAATTATTTGTATTACCAGCATACAGTAAAGGATTCATTCAGCAGTTCCATGTGGTCAAACTGCACCATTCATTCATTATTCTTCTCTGAGCCTCCTGCCTTTACTCCCTCTGTCTCCATCTGCATTTCTCTTCTTTTCATTCTTCCTTTCAACCCTAACATCCTATCTTTCTCTCTCTCTCCCCCCCTTCACGTTCACTAGGTCTCTCGCTCCCTCTGAAGCAGGCCCAGTGAAGTGTGCAGGGCAGGTCATAGCTGTCCATTCACAGCCGAATAAAGAATGACACATTAGAAAAAGAGAGACAAATTTGGCCATTCTGGAATCAAAGAGCAATTTTCTGCTCTATTAGAAGGCGGCCTTTTTGTTTTCCATTCGCCATTCTCCTGTTACTGCATGTGTGTGAGTTTGTGTGTGAGGGCAGGTGTGTCTGTTAGCTTCAGTGTTTGAGTACCGCTTTGAATTAGATTTGTGCAGCAGCGTGTCTTGAGACCTGTCATACAGAGTTTATTTGATTATGTGTGTTTGTTTCAGTTGGATGTGTGTGAGCAGGCACTCACGCTCCATACGCAGGGATAGGTGGAGGAGGAGGTGCAGCACGGAACGTGTTGTAGACGGCGCGACCCCTCCCTCTCAAGTGGGCCCCTCTATAGGCCACCGCTGCTCCTGTACTGGGGTATGGAAACCCTGTCACTGGGACAGAGAGAGAGGGGTGGAAAGAAATAGAATATGGTAATTTTCATAGTTTTCTTTGCAATAAAAAGCATCTAAAAGATATGGCTGCCACAGTTTTGTAATTGAAAATAAATTCCATGAAAATACCAAAACCAAAAATGTGTCAGTCCATCCTTCAGTAACTTGCCTACCCTGTCTGTGGCTCTCAACTCCAAGCCCATTGGTTCTTACCGAGGAAGCTAATCTTCAAAAATGATTCACTAACATAAAGTCACTTTTAAAAAAGCTCAGCAATTCTCTCAAACTGTTGGTCACTGTGGTAACAAATGTTAACCAAACAGGAGGAAGTGTATGCATTTGTTGGGGGACTATTTTCAGCTGTGGATTGATACGACAGCAGGACGGACAAGATGATCTATAGCAGCTACGTTCATGTGTTCCAGTGCGGCTCATTGATGTGTTTTTAATGATGTTGATGGATTACAGTGGCACAGATGAAGGAGATACATCAGCTTCTGATACACACACACACAATACTTTCATTGTTGGTTTGGGTGTTTTTTTACACTAGACTATATCCTCAAGATTATGTAACATTTATTTTATTTTAGTAATTACAACTTTACTTCAGTTAAAGGACCAGTGTGCAGGACTTAGTGGTGCCTTCAAGCGTGAAGGAGAAACTACAGAGGCCCTTATAACGGCCCTATCTTGATCCTGTGTTTGGTTTGTCCATTTGGGGCTACTGTAGAAACATGGCGGACTCTGCCAGAAGTGGACCCGCCCCCTCTGTAGATTTCCAAATATTATCGGACTGAATGGATAGAGCGGCTGTGGCTCAGAACACAACCTCCGAGACAGACAGAGGACGACAGCGGTACCGAGGTGATTTATGGAGCTCCCTGATGGACTTGTTGCTAAAAGTAGCTAACTACCGCTAAAGAAAATGTTAGCTGCTTTTACCTAATTAGCTTGTGTAGCTAACATTAGCTGACTTAGCGCCACGGTGGCAGGAGCCAAACCCAGCAAAACAAAAACAACCCTGTCGTCAAACTTTCTTCAGTCGGTATCAGATGCTGCATTCAGAGCTGAACTGGACCGAACTGTTCACTGAGAGCTCCCAGTCAGGCAGAGTCAGCTAATAGGACC